GTGAGGGCCCTCTTCCCAGTCGCCAACTTTTCGCTGAGCCTCACGATCGGTCATGGAAGGAGTGAGGGAGCTCTCTGGGGCCTCTTTTATAAGGTCACAATTCCCATAATTCCCCACCTGCGTGACCTAATCACCTCCCAAAGGCCTTATTTTTTAATACCATGACACTGAAGGTTAAGATTTCAACGTAAGAATCTGGTAAGGACACAAACATTCAGACCATAGCACTTTGGACTAAGTGGCTTTGGATTGCTGACCTAACCATTGGGTAGTGACAGATTTCTCAGGAGGGTGTCAAACCTGGGCAATCATCAGCTAGGGAAATACTATCCGTAAAAAAGTCTGGTTCTGCAGTCACCTAAATTCCCCAGCCCTGCCCCAGGATTGGAATCTCCTCCTTTCCCCAGACCCCACGCTGCTGCCGTGCAGGTCTTCCGAGGCAACCTGATCTCTCCCATCTCCGACTGTTGTATATTGTGTTTTTCCTGCCCCGAACACCCTTTTTTCCTTCCCTTCTCTTTCTCCTCAGCCTCATCCTGCTCTCCTATCCCATTCCTTGTCTAATTAACTGCTCTTCATCTTCTGTGTCCAGCTCAGGCATCCCCTTCCCTGGGGAAGCAGCCTCAGCCATCCTCCCACAGTTCTGGGGCTGTAGCAGTTTAGGCAGCTCTGTGTCTCCCAAATATCCCGTGTTGTCACGGTCTGATCTAGACTTTGCACTCCTTAAGCCACAGCCGTCTTTGAGCCCAGCCCAGATACAGCAAGTATCCAAATGCCAGCAGAGGGAAGAAAAGGGGGGAAGGAAGAATTTTGTTTGTCATTTATTAATTAGTCACCTGATGACTTGATGAGTTTAGTAAAGTCACTTCAGTGTCAGATTTGCTGCCACCCCCTTTACCCACATATCTTCACAAAACAATCTTGACCTGTGGGTTCAAGCAGTCCTGTGATTCATTTAATAGCACCTACCAATAAATCTTCCACTAAAATGAGCTGCCTGTTTAAATATTTTAATTGATACTAATTAATTAAGGTTAATCATAATGTGCCCCCTGGAGTCGGGTTCAGAGTATTTTAGTTTTCAATGCCAGTTTCAGTATTTGGCAGCTGTGTGACCTTGGGCAAGTCACATACCCTCTCTGGACCTCAATAGGTTTATCAATACATTGTCCATGCAAGTACCTGCCTGGCAGTATTGCTGATAGTATGAAATAATGGTATGTGAAAATCTTTGCCTACAGTGACCGGTCAACATGTGTTTGTTCTTTTTCCTCCAAGGATTATGATGAACAGATTGTTGGAGGGTTGGGGAGAGCTGGGCAAGGGGACGCAAACTGGCAGGGGCAGGCACCTGTGCTTCGTCATGAGCTCTCACTGTCTGCCAACTCCTTTACCCTCACAGCCCCCCTCTGCAAGTAGGTTCTGAGAGGTGAAGGACCTCCCTCCCTCTTTTGAACTGCAGCTGCTCCATCTGGGTGCTTCCCCCTCCCTGCCAGCCCCCCACCACCCCGCCCACTCTCAGGGCTGAGGGAAGAAGCCCCTGAGAAGCATTTGCCAATTTCTATGATGTAAATATACCCACCCTGGCTGATTTCCAGCTACTAATGGTTTAACAACTGGCTCCAGGCATTCCCAAAATTGAACAAGGGGTCTTGACTAGCTACCTGAATGGCTCTGGCACAACCCCTGTCTGTCTTAACCCCCCAACCCCCATCCCCCCCAATAGCTGGACTTCAAGTTTGCTCCCCTCCTTTATTCCCCTTGAGCATCTTCAACTTACAGTCTTTGCATTTGCTGTGTCCTCTGCCTAAACTCCCTCCCTGCACAAGTTCCTGTGGCTGCCTCCTTCTTGTGGTTCAGATCTTTGCTCTGCTACCATCTCCATGTAAGTGGCCCTCCCTGCCTGCTTGTGCCAGGATGGCTCCCCACCCTCAGTCTCTCCTTACAACATCACCCAGCTTTCCTTCTTCCACAGCACTTGTCATTGTATGGAATTCATATTTCCTCATTTCCTGTCTGCAATAGGAACTTCATCTTATTTCTGTGCCCTCAGCACATAGTAGAGGCTGAGTGAATAATTGTCAACAGAATGAATTTGTTCAAGGTTGCATATCTAATAAGGAAGAAAGTAGAAGTCAACACAGAGCCCACACTCTTGAACTCCCTAACTACGTTACCTTATCCTCAAGTGGCTTATAGAATAGTCTGGAATACAGCATAATTACATAGTCACAGGCAACTGTAACACAAAGAGATCTCTTATGTGCTGTTGTGGAATACAAATGGGTGTAACTATTTTAGAAAATGTTTTTGTGTTACTTTCCAAGTTAAAGGTGACCCAGCAATTCTGCTCCTAGGGATATACCCCAGAGAAACTCTTGCACACAGACAGCTGGAGATGCATAAAGAATCTTTATAGCAGCAGTGATGAAAGCAATACTTGGAAATAATCTAAACACGAATTTAGAGGAAAGTGACTATTATTCAGCAACCAAATCATTGAACTACCCAACATTCACCGGTATGGATCTATCTTAGTCATATGCTCTTGAGCGCAACAAAGTAAACCCTAAAAAACTAAAAATAGCACAATACCCTCTATGATATTAAAAACATCTAAAAATGTTTTAAGCATACTGTTTACGATTACTTATATAATTATGTGACATGGAAAACAAGGGAATGATGAACATAAAATACAGGATGAAAAGACCTGAGGTAAGAGGAGGCAGGAGATGGGCTTGCTGGAGTGGGGAGTGGTCATCTGGTCAGACACAGGTTATCATCAAGGTCCTAACTTTTAGGTGAAGGGCTTGTGGGTGTTTACTGTACTAATTAAAACTGAACTGATTAAATAACTAGATAAATAGCTGATATTGAGCCAGTTAAGGACCAAGGATTATGCTTAATTCTATGGACCTAAAATCTTAGCATGCAAAGGAACTGCATAAATGTCATCAAGATTCATGTGTCAGGCAGCATCCCATCTTGCAAGGAGGGAAAAGCTCCGAGGAGCTGTACAAATGGAAGGTTGTTACAGTCAGAATGAAGGTGGGACAAGGAAGTTCAATGATTATTTCTGGCAAGGTCACCTTTCCTTAGGGAAGGGCAGGGGGTCATATCTGGCAGATTACCTCACTAGTACTGACCAAGAAATTCCAGACTGATTGGTTTAAAATTCCACCTGGGAGAGGCTGAAACTGCAGTTAGGTTAGGTATTAAGTCTACCTGGGCTTAGCAAAAGTGTCTCCATTTGGGGCCTGTTGTTTCTTTCAAACAATATATTATTCATTCATTAGAAAAATATATATAATGACAATTTATACAGTCCCACAAAAATTTATTAAAATGCATTTTATAGAATTTTAAAGGGGACCTTACATTTTAAAAAGCAAATATTAAAAAATCATATTTTGTAATCCCTGAGATACCCTGAATTTTTAAATGGTGAAAATTATTTTTCCAAGTATCTTGGTCCATGACTATTGTCTTCACTCTTAAATCAAGGCCTCTTATTCTTTCTTTTGCTTCAGACCTAGGTTTCATATCTACTTAATTTTGTCCTATTTCTTCGAAATAAAATTTCCCCTTATGCTGCCTGTACATCTTTTGTATACAAAAAGGAAGTGTGTGAGAAGTGTAAAAAGCTTTTCTTTTTTTTTAGCTTGTACTGTTCATTTCACAACATTTCTATTGTTATGTGTCAAATCAGGGACACAGATCCTCATTAGTGACAGTTGGATGAGGCCTTTAAAAGGAGGAAATGTGGACAATAGAGAGTCTCCTACGGGAATTCCAGAAGAGACATGCTGAGGTGTTTGTTCCAAGATGGGTAGAAGAGAGATAAAAATGGGCTCTCTCCTCTCTTTGTTTTTGTAACTGAGGGAGAGATCTCAATTTTTTCAATGTGTGAGAAAAACATTAAAAATATTTTTATTGGTTTGGAGTAATGCTCCAAACTTTGTTCAGCCTTAGTTTTTCCTACTGTGTGACATGGCAGACTAAATAACTCATCAGTAATTGTGCAAATACTACTACAGACTTTCTATGTGTGCAGGTCAGGGCTCCCTCTTAAGGACAAATTTAAGACTGTGAATAGTCACCAATCTCCAGGTCCTGAGATCTGTTATGACTGTGCCTTAGAACAGGGTAGGACTGACATGACTTTTTAAAAAAATGTATCTTCTTGAGGTGTAACTGACATATAACATTGCAGATATTTAAGGTGTACAACATATGGACTCGATACATTTAAATTGCAATATGATTTCCATTGTAGGAGGAGTCACATTATCATTTCTAGTGATGGGAACAGTATGACTTTTTAAAGTCCATTACACTCTATCCTTCTGTGCGGACCCTTGTCCTCTCTCCCCAGCCCACCCCTCACCCACACATCCCTTCCCCACAACCCCTCCCTCTCTCAGGAACTTCACTCCTTTCCACTTTACTTTCTTTTTTACTAAACTGTGGTCTCTTGTAACTAAACTGAGCATTAAAAATCATCTAATTCAGTGTCCTTCAAACTGTTTTTTCCCCTTCTTCCAGCTTTATTGAGGTAGAACTGACAAACTAAAATTGCATATATTTAAGGGGTACATTTGTCCATTGGACTTTTACATGTCTTTTTGAAAAATATATACTTTATATCCTATATTACTTTAAAACTTTTTTGACCCTCTAAGCCATCTTCCAACAGAACATCTTAAACAAAACCCCAAGATGTAAAGCTGATAAAGTGCACCCACTCTGAAAAGAGGAAGAGATATGCCATCTTCACCCACTCAGCCTTCAGTGGGTAACCCTGACGCTGCTCACAGAGTTCCTGAAGATCCTTTGGCAGAGCCTCAGCATCCCCGGCTAGCGCCAACACCCTCCTGTGGCAGGTGGGGGAGCTGAGGCTCAGAGAGGGGCGGGGAACAGATCCGTGTCTCGGCCAACACCTCAGCCTCCCAGCTCCCAGTTCTGGAACCCAGCCGGCCTCGTCCCCCTTTCCTTACCACGTGGTTTCAGACTTCTGGCCCGGAGACATCCTCTGGAAGCCTGGGGCTAAAATCATTCCCAGTGGCTCCCAGGCGGCCTCTGCATTTGCCAAAACAGCATCCCCACCCTGGCGACCTGGAGACATTCTGCTGCCAGTCCTGCCGCTTCCTAACGCGGGACTTGACTTCCACTCAAAGAAGGAGAGAAGCAGAGGAAAAAGACATCAGAGGCACGTCAGACATTATGAGTGCAGTTAAGGGAGCCCATCCTGGGTGTCCTGATGGCTGTTTCAGGAGGGTTACCACCCCCAAGAAAGTGGCTGGCCCAGTGGGAATAGAGTTAAACAGGGCTCACGTGAACAAAAAGTGGTCTGTGATCCAGGGTGGATGATGACAAGACCCACTGGTGCAGGGGGAGAGGACAACTTGCTTTCCCTTCTGAGGAAGCGGCTTAGTGTGGCTGTGCAGGCTCACATCCTGTGAGGGGCACCCCCTACCCTAGGTCCCTCACCCTCACTTCTGTCAGACATTCCACCAGACCTATAGTCATTCCTCTTCTCTTTGTAATATAACAATATGGACATTTCTAAAGCTTCCCTTGGCTTTTTTCAAAGTCAATACAGTTAAAGCACAATGCATCTTAATTGCCAGCCCCTCCACCCTGTGCAGAACAAATGGCTGCAGTCCTAAATAGTAGGCATGCTGGCACCCAGTGAAGAAGGGCGAGGAAGCCAGGCTGGGGTTTCTGTGAAAGAGTCCCAGACAAAACAGTTCGCACCTAAGGGTCTGCTTTCCCATAGTGCTTTTTCCAGGCTACCTAAGACTATTTTTACATCCATCATTTCCTCTCACAGTTTGCCTAGAGACAGGTAGAACGACAATTAATTCAGTTCTTCTGGAGAAACAGAGATTCAGCAATTTTGTGTCAAGGGGCATAGGGCGAGTCAAAAAGTGACTGTGCTACTTTAAAGGTTGGTATCTTTTCATCTGCACACCAATGGCAGTAAGTGGTCATTTGGACAAAGTTTAAGAGTTCAAATCCTGCCTCTCCCACTTACTAGCTATGTGACCTTGGACTGGTCAAGGTATTTGACCTCTGTCTGCTTCAACATCTCCATCTATAAAGTGGCTGATGATAATAATATGGTAGTACCGGATTCCTTGCCTTGTCGAGGGACTAAATGAGTTATATTATGTAAGAAGCTCAGAACAGCACCAGTGTATAGTAAGTTCTCAACAAATTTGAGTTGTTATTTGTATAAGGCTTATGGTTTACAAAGTGCTTCCACAGACATTACTATCTACTGACTAGACTCCAGATCATTTGACTCACTCCAGGCATTTGGAAGAAATTCCAAATATTGGGTAAGGTCCAGCATCCTTTTCTGAACACATCCCAAGGAGGCTAGTCTACTAGGTATGGTTTTCCCAGCCATGCTGTCTCTGCTCCATGCCCTGGGAAAGCACTCTGCTAGGCCCCAGGACACTTCCTCTGCTCTGGCAGAAGCTCCCATCCAGGAAGTGTGAACTGTCCCTTATCCCTCACACAGCGGGAGGCAGAATTATGCCCACTGGAGCCCTTATCTCTCCACTTTCAAACACCACTGGATATTCCTTAGAAAACTGATTCCGGGCAAAGAGAATTAAGCCATGTCATTTCCCCTGATAAAACCTTTACAAAGCCTTATAAAGTAATGTCAAAAAAAGCTGCTTCATGAGTGCTGGTCACCATCCCTCTCCCAGGCTCCAGGCAGGGAAGGGAGATGACATTTTTGGAGACCGCAGTGTGTGTAAGGCTAGGTTAATACAATGCATACAGGTAAGGACATGGGGCTGTAGAGAGCAGAAACAACTTGCCAAAGGCACCACAGTGGATAAAAGCCCTCACTAGGCACTTTCGAACCTCTCTGTGCTGAGTTTTCTCATCTGTAAACTGGGATAATAATCACATACACTCCATAGGGTCATAAAATTTCAGGGAGTTACTTCACTTATTGTGCTTAGCACAGTGACTCACACATACAAGAACCTAATCAATGTCAGGTATTATTATCATTATTATCATAATTATTATTACCTGAAAAAGAGCAGCTAGGGTTTACTCTGTGCCTTGTCCATTACACCAGTGGGGCCTTAGTCCCTGACTGAGCACAGTAAGTTTGTCTTTGAATGGAGGAACTTTCCTATTGGAAAGCCAAGCTCATGGCGCGGGGTGTGTGGTAGTAGGTGTGGTTAGGACTTGCATTTCCTTTGAGGTGGGAGCAGTTTTGTCCAACCTGTGATGCACTTTATGTTCCTCACTGTTGAGCAGTTGATGATCAGGGTCCTCTCTGAACCCTTTTATGGACAGGGCACTCATTCCGTCGTAATGAAAATCAACACACTGCATTTCCAACACCTTTTATAACTAGGGTTCTCTCTCAGTTTCTTCTTCCTCCTCCCTCCCCTGCCCCTTCCTCCTTTCACCTTCTTCCCTTTTCTCTTCTTTCTGCTCTGTTCATTCCCTCCTTTGCTCTCCCCTCCCAGGCTTGAGCGCCCCAGGTCCCAGGTCTTTGCCCTGAAGTCGCCATCTCAGTCATGGAGAGCATGGCAGGTCTTCAGTGTGGCCACTTGGTCGGCTGATGGGAACTTGGTCTCCAAGGACCGTGACACTCCCCTGAGCTCTGCAGGGTCTCTCGAAAGCATAATCTTTTTATCTGGGCATATGGGTTGGCCTTCTGGTTCATTAATACCATCCATGAATTCGCCCAGTTTCCACTATTAACCCCATCTAGAACATAGGAAACTTGAATTGGGTTCATCCGGTGTGTCAAGGCCCAGGTGGCCCTAGCACACGCCACAGAGGAGGTTTGGGACGCGGACGCACCAGGGAGCCTGCGCGGGTGCGAACCCCGCTCCGGCTAGAATCCTCCGCGTAGAAGCCCCAGACCGCGCGGCCCGGGCCCGGCCTCCGGCAGCCTGCCGCTTTAAGAGAGGGGCGGGGCCCCGGGGCGGGCACGGCAGGGCCGGCCCACAGGCTCCTTTTCCTTTTTGATCCATTCAAAAATTACTCAGTGCAAATTCCCGGACCGCTCGGAGGGGAGAAGGCAGGGGGCGGAGGAGAGCGCGCGGCTGCCGGCGCCGCGCTGGGGGCTCCGGGGGCCGGAGGGGCTGCCGCCTGGTCCGGCAGAAGCAGCCCGCGGCCGTCTGGCTCCGGTGGCCTCACCAGGAAGCGTCAGAGTCTCGGCGCTGGGGAAGCTCCGAGCGCCGCCGCCGCTGCCGCCGCCTGCCGCCGGCTCTCGGTCCCCCAGCCCCGTGCGCTGCTCCCGCCCGGCGCCCCCCTCCCCCGCGGACGCTCCGGCCCGGGCGCCCGCCCCGGCGATGGCTGGCCGCTGAGCAGCAGCTCCGGACGGCCACCCCAGCGCGCTCGGCATGGCTGCGAGAGAGGAGCTGTACAGCAAAGTCACCCCGCGGAGGAGCCGCCAGCAGCGCCCGGGCACCATCAAGCATGGGTCGGCGCTGGACGTGCTCCTCTCCATGGGGTTCCCCAGAGCCCGCGCGTAAGTGGCCGCGCTCGCAGCCCTCGCGACCCCTCCCGCCGCGCGCCACCGGCCCTCGGCTTCGCTCCGGCTCGCCTCCAGCGCCTGCCCGCCGGGCGGCGCGCTCCCGGCTGCCCACGACCCGCTGGGGGGCAGGATGGGCGCGCGGGCGGCCCGGGACCCGGCTCGTCCCGGCGGGGGCGCAGGGGAAGACGCCGCGCGGGAGCGCCTGGCTGGCGGCCTGCTCGGGATGCTTACGGTGAGGCACGCCCGAGGTGAGGCATGCCTGAGGGCACCGGGTGCGAGTCCCAGGGGCCGTGCCCCGCGCCGGGCCTCCACGGGTGCGGCCGAGCCGGCGTCGCGCGGGCCCCACGGAGAAGTCAGGCTCCCCCCTGATCCGGAGCCCGGGGCTGGCTCGGGCTTCTCAGATGGCTGGGAGAGGGCGAGCGACAGCGGGGAAGGAAGGGAGGGGAGGCAGGCGCTCCGGCCGCGGCGGCTCCCGGCTCCGGATGTCGCTCTCCGGCTCGGGTCCCCCCGGAGGAGGAGGAGCGGGCGCGTGGGTGTTGCAGCGTGTTCATTGATGGGGAGGATGGAATGGGAAGGGGAAGCGATTCCTCCTGGGCCCCTGGGCCCTCGTCAGGGGTGACGGCGGCGCAGAAACCAGTGGGTGCCCGAGAGTAAGGCGGGGGGAGCTGCCCTTCCTCATCCTTCTTCCCCTCGGACGGCGGGGTAGGAAGGGCAGAGAGAGCGCAGGTGGCTGTCCCTGCAGCCTGCTGGGAAGGGGCCTGGTCGCCAGCACGCGGCGGCGGCTTGGCAGGAGGAGCCTTAAGCTGCTCCATCAACATCGTGGGGCTGGAACCCTGCCTAGGAGGAAGCCAAGGCCCCGCGGCCAAGCCCTTGGTTAATTCCTCGCGGGCAGATCTTTTTAGGTGTGGCCCCAAGGCCTGGGATGCCGCGGAGGCGCTGCTGCTTGGAATTACATCACCTGAACTGGAGAGTTGGGCAAACTTTAAAAGGAAGGGCTGAGTTAAGGAAGTTTGGTTTTGTTTCCACCTCCTGTTTTCAGGTGATAACTCTGGGTTTACCCTTCCTTGGTTTCTGGACAAATCCTGATTATTCTTTGCTAACTTGGCTGTAACCTCTTAATCAAAGCAGACCTCTGATTTTATCGATAAATTCTATCCAGCCTGCTGAGAGGGTTGGAGTGGCCTTGGAAAGGAAGGAAGGGACTGACATTCCTGCCTCCCCCTGACTTCCAAGCCCTGGAGCTCCAGTCCCTCAGGCCAGAGTTACAGGCGGAAGATGTGGGAGCTCTGCAGGGGGCTCAGGTGTGGATGTTGTAAGTGGTGTACTTATGAAAGATCCACGCGTATAGCTCTCCTTAAGAACGGGAGGTAGGGGTCGGGAAGTTGGCTGGGCAACCCCGCAGAAGTAGCACTGTCCCGGGCACCTGCGTTTCTGTGAAATGAGGCCAGTAATAAGGACCTAAAGTACTTAACTGAGGGAAGAAATACTTAACTGAACTTCTCAGACTGTCATGTCTGCTATTCAAACCTCTTTTCCGCACTGGGTCCAAGAGGAAAACTTGTTTACATTCTGACACATTAGGATGATGGTCTAATTTTGGCTGGCTCAAGTTCTGAGATCTCATAGCGTTTATCAAGTACTATATATATATACACTCTTCTAAGCACTTTAACCTTTATTAACTATTTCATCCTCCTGGCAACCCAGTGAGAAAGACAACTCTATGCCCATTTTATGGACTTGGAAACAGAGGTGTAGTATGGTTTCACAACTTGCTCAACGTCACAACGCGAAGCAATCGGACTGGGATTCAAACGAGGCAGTGTGTCTGCTCAACTCAGGCCTCACATCCAGGGCCAGGATGTGAAGAGTTAGTGCAGGTAAAATGTTTAGTGCAATGCCTGGCACACAGTCACCAAGTGTCAGGTACTGTAGAAGTTTCTGTGGCTGCTATAACAAATGACTGCAAATTACTGGGTGACTTCAAATAACAGAAATTTGTTCTCTCATAATTCTGGAGGCCAGAAGCCCTAAATCAGAGTCAGTAAGGCTGAAATCAAGGTGTACGGAGGGGGGCTGTGCTTCCTCCAGGGACTCCAGGGGAGAATCCATTCCTCGCCTCCTCCAACTCCAGGTAGCTGCCGGCATTTTTGGCTTCTGCCTGTATCATGCCACTCTCTGCCTCCATGGTCTCGGTGCCTTTTCTTATGTCTGTGTCACATTCTCCTCCTGCCTCTTTCCTATAAAGACAACTTCTGATTGCATTTAGAGCCTTCCCAAATAACGCAGGATCATCTTTCCATTTCAAGATCCTTAACTTCGTCACATCTGCAAAATCCTTTTGTTTCCCCCCATAAGGTAATGTTCTCAGGTTCCAGGGATTAGGAAAACAATATTTTGGGGGGAGCCACCATTCAGCCTCTCTACTATTATTACTAGCGTTGCTTCTCCTTACTGAGAAGGTAACCAAGTGGGTCTTGATGCAGCAGCCCGGGTGGGAGGGAGATTGGGGTTTCCTCTTCTGTCTCCTCAGATTCTCTCCCCAAAGTCACCCGATCTAGTTCCACTCTCGCCCGCACCGCAGGTTGGCTTCTCTTCTTCCTCACCCTAGGGAGGCTGATGTGGCCAGCCTTCTTCCCCTTAGTGACTCAGCTCAATAAGAAGAGGGACTTCTCCACCCGGCCCGTCTGAGAGTCCGAAGAGCAGACTTTTAACTTCCTTTTAAGTCAGGAGGGAGCATGATGAAATTCAAAGCAGGAGAGAGCTGGGACAGTTTCCTGGCTTCAGGGAGATGTGGCCATGCAGGATTCCTCAAGATGGGATGCGACCCGTGTCTGGAGCATGACTTCTGGAGAGCCTGGTGGAGCCAGGCAGACAGCTGTGGCTTCTCCTCCGGGGGGTAACTGGGCCTTGTGTGCAGCAGCAAGAGGGGCCTCCCACTGGGCTTTGGGTGGGCCGGCAGGGAGCTCAGCAAGACGCAGGTCCCTTACAGCCTGCGTTGTGCTGTGGTCTTGGACTAGTCCCTTGACCCCTCAGGGCCCCACTGGCTTCCCCGGAGGGGAGCGGGGTTACTGAACATGCTTGTGCAGTGCTAGACGGAGCCACCGGGAAGAGAGCTGAGCAGGCATGGTGACCTCAGAGAATGTGCTCTTGGCTCATGCCACCCCTGGGGCTGTGCTAGGTTTTTTCCATTCCATCCTACGAATTTAGACGCTGTGGTCGAACCTGACACGCAGAGAGGGAATAAGAAGTGACGACTTTTACGGTGTGTGTGTGTGTGTGTGTGTGTGTGTGTGTGGTGTGTGTGGTGTGTGTGTGTGTGTGGTGTGTGTGAGTGTTGTGTGTGTGTGGTGTGTGTGGTGTGTGTGTGTGTGTGTGTGTGTGTGCGCGCGCGCGCGCGTTCACGCTCAGGAAGGAAACATTCAAGGGGCCAAATGGCATGTCCCTTCCTTTTTCTTTTGATGACTCCTGGCTCTTCCCTGTTCCAAAAGTAATAAAAATAAAAAGTCCAGCTTGGTCAAGACCAGAGTGAGGTGTTGGTTAGAAGGCAAAGCAGGGTGTGTGCATGCTCTGCAGAGGCCTGAGGAGGAGGCTGCCTGGGGGCAGGGGAGAGGGGGGCTTATCACCCTACAGGGCGGGACAGGAACTCTGATAGTTTGTTGCTTTGCAACTGGATTTCTTAACTACCCCCTGCTGGCTGGCTGTGGTTTCTGGGGCAGTAAAACTCTTCTCTCTTATCTCTTCTGTACCTTGAGGCCAACTGGGGGAGCCAGGCACTGAAGGATGGAGTTTTCGGAGGCCTTGCTGCTGTTAGCTCTGGCCTTTTGCGGTTTGATGCTGCCTGTGGCTAGAACCTTGTCTGTAGCAAATGGCTTTTGAGTGTTTCCTAGTGACTGAGATATAATCTTGCAAAAGGACACTGTGGCAGGGGGTCCTTATCCTGAGTTCTAGTCCAGCCTCTGAAGTGAAGCTTTTACAGCTCCATTTAACCTTTTCTTCCCTCAGTATCCTGACCAGCTCCCGTGCATGGCAACGTCTGTCCCTTGTAACTCTCAAGGTTTTCTGAAACAAAATGAGATCTTGGACAGGAAAGGAGTTGGAGCAGTTAAAATTATAATCTGGGCACAAGATAGCTATGATTATGGCGTTAGTGTGTTGGATTGGAAGGAAAGGAAGGCGGGGAGATGGTGGTCGACGCCTCCAGCAAGGATTTACATGTGTTATGCAATTGTCCTTTTGTCTACTGAGAGTATTTGAACAGCACCTAGTTAAAGAGCAGGACAGTGGCGGAAGGAAAGATCTGGAATAAACACTTTCGACTTTGCTTTGGACAAGCTGCATTAGCTATGCCTCACGACCAAAGATAAAAAACAGCTCAAAGTTGGCTGCATGAGGAATTGAGGGGCATCTTGCAGACTCCATGAATGCAAGTGCCCAGTTTCCCTGGTCCACTCCAGCTTACCTGGTGGCCGACATCGGAACCTCTGAAAGTAGTTGCTCAACTCAGCATCTCTGAATTGTGGCCGATTCTGGATAGGGGCTTGTGGCTGCCTTCTCAGGGGCTTTGGGTAGAAAGAGAAGAAAATCCATGGCCCACTTGGAGCTAAGGGGATCTTATAGATGGGCAGGGGGAGGAAGTCCCTCATGTACCCACTGTGACTGTGTGCCCATGTGCCCACACAATACCCCTTAATGTTGGTGTGTTATTTTCATTTGAAAAATTGCTCTCACATGCACTAAATACCATCTTTGATCAACACAAAGCCCTGTGCAGTAAGGCGCACCAGCAAAGCCTTGCTGTTTTTTAAAGATGAGGGGGCTTGAGACTCAGAGGATCTCAGGGACTTGCCTCCTGTGGGCTGTGTCACTGCGACCACCTCAGGCTAAACCGCAAGTCTGGTGAACTTTCCAGGCTATGTAGAGGCCCTGGTTCAAAAGGAAAGACCTTGCTGTGCATTTTTCCTAACTTTATTTATTGAAGGGTAGTTTATGTA